AGGATTTAGCTAAGAGAAGTGTGTGGGAATGAATCACCAACACATACCAAAATAAGGTGTGTAAGGAAACCAAACTAATGTAGGAAAATAACCCAAATAATAAGAAGAAAAATAATAACAACACTAATAAAAAAGTTTGAGAATTAGAACTGAAAATGAACTAAAGTGACCTTGTCACATAATGAAAACTATAAGAAAAAAGGGCTTGTATGACGGCTGTATGGGTCAAAGTGATATGGCCTGAAAAATGCACATGGCCCTAGAAATGTATATGGTCCCACAAAATCAAAGTCAGTTAATGACAGAAACTATTCTGTTGCTTCAAAATTTGTTTTCTTCAAAAAAGTGGTGAAAGTAAACATTGTGACAGCAAATTTGCTATCCTGGCTAACTGTATGATGCAGAACTACATCAGTTTCTAAGCTACTCCAAAAGCACACAAAGAAAGTCAGAAAAGTGATTTTTATAGTACTGGTATTTTGTTGCAGTCACCAGCCACAAGTTTCCAAAGGTGATAGCACAAGACCTGTTCATCCAATCATGTCACTGACCCCATATCAGAACAGGTAAGGAGTATTTTAAATAATAATTAGAATATCTACATAAGCATTTATATTTTACCTTTTGGGAATTATTATCTTCTATTTCATCTTTTTTTTTGTCTTCCTCTTTTTTACTTCATTCTCAATAAAGTTTATTAAAATACTGATAGTTCTTGCCTACGAGGTCTAAACAAAAATGAAAGGTTTGGTCATTCCCCCCACTGACTAACCTGGAAGATTCTGCAAATTCCTGTAAATAAGGTATTTTAATCCAATTTGACCAATGAGAATTCCAAGAAATGGGAATTTAACACAATGGATGTGTATTTCTACACAATTGTTATGTGGACAGATTAGATCACATCTTAACTGTTCAAAAGTGTATTTATGACTTAGAAACTAACATTTCTTCAACTTTCAATTGATGTAAGAATGTTAATATCTATCTTATTCCACAGTTATCGTTATACATATAAGCAATCTCTTCATTTATCTCGTCTATTTCTTAACTTCAAACAGGTGGACCATTCGTGCCCGTGTGACTAGCAAGTCAAACATACGTACCTGGAGCAACTCCAAAGGAGAGGGGCGTGTCTTCAATGTTGACCTAGTGGATGAGTCGGTTTGTAAACAATTTAATGTTAAATTCTGCATCATGTAGCTTTCCTTCAGTAAAAACATCAAAATAGTAATACAGTTGAACCCCTCTATTTTGAACACTCAGGGGAAACAAATGGTTGTTTGACATAGCAGGATTTTGAAATAGCCAATAGTAAATGAGTGAAGGGCAAATCCAAGGGAAATGGTTTTGAGTTTGAGATGGATGATTCTGGAAAATATCCATATCCTACCTCAGGTTACATGAACATTTTAACCCAACCTTGCCTTTGGAAATTCCAAAATGCTCTAACCCCCATGCCCTCCAAATTCCAAAATCATTAACGATTTTTTTCCAGACACTTCGGAATTCCTGTTTGACTCCCTAAAACTTCTAATGAATGGGAAACTTGCACCTTCTACCCCCTCCAAGAAAATTCTGTTCACAATTTTTTGGTCAAGCAAACCAGCAACTCAAGTTTGTTATAAAAGTTTAATAAAGTACACCAAAGCTGTGTTATCTTAAATTGCTTACTGCCAAATAAAACTTTTCGTTTTCAGTTCATTAGCTTCATATTTTCAGGGGGAGTAGATCATTTTGATACCAGTGGAAGACAAAAGTTTAGAAGTTCATTATATGTGCCATCACCGGCCATATTTGAAATTTCGTTCATTGAGTAACTGCTGACCACTAGTAGTGCAGCCTACAAATCTGTCAGGTGTTCCATTTGGAAACGAGAGACTGGTGCGAGTTTTTCGCACCCAACAAGATTGTTGATTGACAATTTAAGTGCAGAAAGAAACACAGACTTGTTTCACATTTTATTAATCTATAGACTAACTCATAAACTTTAAGGCCTCTTTGATGTGGAGCACGCTGTACAACCCATCCATTCACTCATCTGCCTGATCACTAACACCTGCCTGATCGATCTTTATCCTGCTTTCATGGTTGGTTCATGCTTGATTTAGAAACTGGAAAAGTTATCAGATCAGCAATTTCAAGTGAAGCCTTTGGGGTCTTCCCCCTCTGGAAATTCAGAACTGAAACCCCCCATGTGTTTGAAATTTCAAACTGCGTTACCCCCCATGACTTCAGAATTCCAGTCTAAGAAACCCCCCCTCTCCCTCGGAATTCCAAGATGCCGCCATGGTTTGGATATTTTCTGGAATCATCCAATAATGGGGAATTCGAAATAACTGAGTTCAAATAAGTGGGGTTTAGCCGTAATGGAATGAAAAATTGAAAAAAGTACAAGAGAAGTGCAAAAACAATCAACTATCAACTATCAACTATTAAAAAGCTTACCTTGGAGTTTCACGTAACAATCCAGTTTTGTATAAAGTTGTAATTTATGGCTTGGCATCCTAAACATCCCTTGGATAATTTCTTCGCCTTATTTTGGGGAACTTATTATGTATTGAGATAGGGTGAAGGGGGAGTCTATTAGTGGTGTAAAAAGCTGTTTAGAAATGAAGAAACAAACAAAAAAAAGCTTTATGTACATGTATCATATTTTTAGGGAGAAATCAGAGCTACTGGATTTAATGATGCTGTGGACAAGTTCTACGAATTGCTTGAGGTTAACAAGGTTTGTAAAACATTTGCTTTCATTTAAAGGAGCACTATGTCTTCTAAAATAGACCCTAAATTATTTGTTTTTTGAGTAAATATCTGTCTAAATGGTGCAGAGCATCAGGGATGCATTTAATCTGCAAGACAACTGGTATTGATATCAATAGTTTTTGCACAACATTGGTATTCACAATATAACATTGTTTCTTCTCCACTGACAGAAATGTATGTTTAGCCCCAGAGGATCTGTAAAAAAAATTGATTGTTGTCATAACTTCCTAAATTCTTCCAGGTGTTTTATATCTCCAAATGCTCCTTACGGACTGCAAACAAGCAATACTCATCCCTGAAGAATGACTATGAGATGTACCTGAACAATGACAGTATTATTGAGCTGGTAAGGATACATGTATCATCATGTAGCTGTAGACTGACTGCTATTTAATTGGGTTTTTTCTCCTGCTAATAAAGACATTTCACTGGCAACTGAAGCAAAATGTGTGGTTTCGGAGAATATTCTGCTGCAACCCTAAGAAGGTTAAAGGAAATTTCAATTGGAGGGGGTTGGTGGGCTTAGGAACTCTTAAAGGTGAGTACAGTGTGTAGGATTTCAAGGCAAAAAGGCTCTTTGCAAGGGGAGTAGGAATTTTACAGTCTGTTTCTTGACTGACAACAATTTACTTATCCACATTTCTTCACAAAATGTCACATTACATTACCCACAACAAACTTTAAAGTACTCCAGATTCCAAAATCACTTGAAGGGTGGCAAATTGTCTTTCAAAAAATTGTCTGTGAAAGTTTTTAGTTGAATTTCATTTGACGTTCTTGCAGTCTTTTAGTGGTTATGTCTGTCTTCCAGTGTCAATTTTTTTACAAAGCTGTCTTGGAGTCTTGAGTTTTTGCAAGGCTAAGGAAGTCTCAAAGTCCTGATTGTTTTATGCCCTTCTCGCCACTGGATGTTGAATTTCAATAGCTGTGCTTAGTTTCAAATTTCCCAGAGAAGATAAATCCAAAATTCTCCTATTCACCTGAATTGTCTGAATTCCACAAAACTTATCACCACATCATTTTGGTGCTTGAAAAATAGCTAGGTTGTTTTGGATATCACAACAAAGTGTTATATCCGAATTTCCAGTTCCAGCCAGTTTGCAGAAGCTGGTGAAAAGAGACAAAACCCACACAAGGCATGGTTCCTCACAATGAAAGGCACAAAGTTTGGAAACTTATCTGTGTTAGACTGTGTGAGCTCATTGTCATATAGCTCACTCTGGAACTCATAGTTTAAGGATCTGAATCTCTTGTGCTTGCACTTAAAAGACTTTGAAGTCGTGGGTTCTCAGTTAAAAATGTCTTAAGCACACAAAGAATAATGCTAGTCTTGCTTTCTCTCAAAGTCTTACATTTACCATTCGCCACCCGTACTTGGTTTTGTTTTAAATTATGAAACATCTACAGCAATTTCTCAAATCATTCTAACTGTCTTAACAACATTAGTTACATACATCAAAAAAGTCAGCATACACCATTCCAGATCATTGAACTGTGCTTTCCAAATTTAACTGGGCAGTGTGTTTTTTTTATCAAATGTTGTGTCTAGGTGGGGTTTTAATGACACTGAGAAAATAGTAATTATAATACCTCCAATGTTTCCTTTGGCTGTTCCGGCCAATTTGAGGTGGAGCAGTTGACTGGGGGTCACTGTCTTGTGATGACTTGACCAGGAGACCTAGTGTTACTTAAAAAATTTGCAAATTTTTTGGTCATCTAACATTCTTTTATGATAATAATGAGTAATAAACTTGTAATGTACTTATTTTTTCAGTGCAGTGACCCTTGCAACTTGCCAACCATTCAATACAACTTTGTCCAGATTGGTGACTTGGGAAATTTTAATGCAGATTCACTAGTTGGTGAGTAATTGATTTTTTCCTTATAGACAGGAGGTGGAAATGATTGACAATGAAAATGTATTAATAAATTTACTTATTTTTTTTTCAACAGATGTTCTTGGTATTGTAATTAGCTGTGATGATGTCACTCAGATAACCACTAGGACAACTAACAGACAGGTTTGTGACTTTCATGGTACCTTTTTAATGATGAGTAAAATTCTGTAGCCCTACATAATAATAATTCCCTACATCCTGTAGCCCTACATTCCACTATCGTACCTGAGCACTGGTGTGATTATGTGACTGTTCATTACAAAGTGTTTTCCCTTACTAACTGCAGTGTAGCATGGAATCAATGAAATCTGTAAAACCATTATTATTAAGTTCTTTATCTGGAGTTGACTGTTGGTTTGTATAAAATCATGGTGTCAATTTTTTTAAAATTTACTGATCAGTGAGTTTCAAGTACAAACTAAGTAGTGAAAAGTTTCTGACAATCTCACATTATTTAACAAGTACATCATTTAAGTGAATATATGAAAGCTCATGGTCATGAACTGCAGAGAAAGAAACGAACTCCTTGCAGTCATGTACACAGCTTGAACAGCTATGAAATTACAGCCTGAAAAAATTCAGGCTTGAACAGGATTTTAACCCATTCAGACCCGTGCAATACCAGTGCAGCGTTCTTCCAACTGAGCTATTAAGCGAATGTAATATACCTGGTGAAGATACAACAAACAAAAAACAAACTTTATTCGCTCTTGTACTTACAATTTTTATGTATCTAATTTACACAAACAAACAAAGTTGCCATCAGAGGCTTCTAAACATTAGAGATCCCCTGCAAACGCGATGTCTAAATAAAGATTCAGTTGTTGTACTATCAAGTCTTCACAGGAACGGGAATAAAGAGAAAGGAAGTGAAGATTCTAATTGAAATAATAATGGCCTCGCATCATTGTGATTGTGTGATTTTGCATGCACACGAAATTTCTTGCAGCTTTGTAATAGAATGTTAAGGTTATAAGGACATGTTACCACAATAATATTACATGTAATGCGAGAATGCGATAGCAAATATTAGCAAATCAGTTTCAACAAATGCTTCTATGATAACCTAAGTGACATGAACATTGAGTGATTTGCGATTGAAGCGGCGGAGCTGGGGGTGTCTTGAAAACTTAGACCTCAGACACTCTGCGTGTCACAAAAACTCGACCCGAGAAATAAAAGAATTCAGCGTTTGCCATGGATTGCTATGAGATGTCTTGTTTACAGTGTTTACTGTTTGTCAATACAATGTCATAGGCAGAATCTGTGGAGAGAGAGAGAGAGAGAAAATAATACCAACTTTCCTATCGTTTTTTGGTTGTTTACAAGTATAGACCAAGTTGATTAAATTTATTTATTTAGAAGCCATTCGAGCCAAGCCTAGTTAGCGTTAGGTGCGGGTTTTGCAAAACAAATATAGAGTCTCGTAGCGGAACTGGATATTCACGAACATGTAGGTGCTTTAGATCTAGGAAATTGTATTGACGAACAGTAAACAAGACATCTTGAAGCAGTCGGCAGCAAACATTCAATTATTTGATATTTTGGGTCTAAGTTTTCGAGACACCCAACGAGCAGGCGAGTATTGGTTGTGAGCGCATGAACAAGGGTATCTTCAATACAAGCTGCTATAATACAACAAGACCTGCCAACAGATTCAATAAAAGAGTTACAGTTCAACCCCTATTAAACAACCACCCTTGGGGTATGGATAGTGGCTGCTTAAAGTGGGCTGGCCGCTTAATACATCTAGAGGTGAAAACAATACAGAAGTCTTCATCGGGACTTTGATTACTGGCAGCCTAATATGGGTGGCCGTTTAATAGGTGGCCACTTAATAGGGGTTTGACTGTATGTATATATAACTAGTGTACTTCATACATAATATATAACTAGTGTACTTTGTACTTATTTCACCTCATGTATTATATTGTTCNCTGCTGCAACCCTAAGAAGGTTAAAGGAAATTTCAATTGGAGGGGGTTGGTGGGCTTAGGAACTCTTAAAGGTGAGTACAGTGTGTAGGATTTCAAGGCAAAAAGGCTCTTTGCAAGGGGAGTAGGAATTTTACAGTCTGTTTCTTGACTGACAACAATTTACTTATCCACATTTCTTCACAAAATGTCACATTACATTACCCACAACAAACTTTAAAGTACTCCAGATTCCAAAATCACTTGAAGGGTGGCAAATTGTCTTTCAAAAAATTGTCTGTGAAAGTTTTTAGTTGAATTTCATTTGACGTTCTTGCAGTCTTTTAGTGGTTATGTCTGTCTTCCAGTGTCAATTTTTTTACAAAGCTGTCTTGGAGTCTTGAGTTTTTGCAAGGCTAAGGAAGTCTCAAAGTCCTGATTGTTTTATGCCCTTCTCGCCACTGGATGTTGAATTTCAATAGCTGTGCTTAGTTTCAAATTTCCCAGAGAAGATAAATCCAAAATTCTCCTATTCACCTGAATTGTCTGAATTCCACAAAACTTATCACCACATCATTTTGGTGCTTGAAAAATAGCTAGGTTGTTTTGGATATCACAACAAAGTGTTATATCCGAATTTCCAGTTCCAGCCAGTTTGCAGAAGCTGGTGAAAAGAGACAAAACCCACACAAGGCATGGTTCCTCACAATGAAAGGCACAAAGTTTGGAAACTTATCTGTGTTAGACTGTGTGAGCTCATTGTCATATAGCTCACTCTGGAACTCATAGTTTAAGGATCTGAATCTCTTGTGCTTGCACTTAAAAGACTTTGAAGTCGTGGGTTCTCAGTTAAAAATGTCTTAAGCACACAAAGAATAATGCTAGTCTTGCTTTCTCTCAAAGTCTTACATTTACCATTCGCCACCCGTACTTGGTTTTGTTTTAAATTATGAAACATCTACAGCAATTTCTCAAATCATTCTAACTGTCTTAACAACATTAGTTACATACATCAAAAAAGTCAGCATACACCATTCCAGATCATTGAACTGTGCTTTCCAAATTTAACTGGGCAGTGTGTTTTTTTTATCAAATGTTGTGTCTAGGTGGGGTTTTAATGACACTGAGAAAATAGTAATTATAATACCTCCAATGTTTCCTTTGGCTGTTCCGGCCAATTTGAGGTGGAGCAGTTGACTGGGGGTCACTGTCTTGTGATGACTTGACCAGGAGACCTAGTGTTACTTAAAAAATTTGCAAATTTTTTGGTCATCTAACATTCTTTTATGATAATAATGAGTAATAAACTTGTAATGTACTTATTTTTTCAGTGCAGTGACCCTTGCAACTTGCCAACCATTCAATACAACTTTGTCCAGATTGGTGACTTGGGAAATTTTAATGCAGATTCACTAGTTGGTGAGTAATTGATTTTTTCCTTATAGACAGGAGGTGGAAATGATTGACAATGAAAATGTATTAATAAATTTACTTATTTTTTTTTCAACAGATGTTCTTGGTATTGTAATTAGCTGTGATGATGTCACTCAGATAACCACTAGGACAACTAACAGACAGGTTTGTGACTTTCATGGTACCTTTTTAATGATGAGTAAAATTCTGTAGCCCTACATAATAATAATTCCCTACATCCTGTAGCCCTACATTCCACTATCGTACCTGAGCACTGGTGTGATTATGTGACTGTTCATTACAAAGTGTTTTCCCTTACTAACTGCAGTGTAGCATGGAATCAATGAAATCTGTAAAACCATTATTATTAAGTTCTTTATCTGGAGTTGACTGTTGGTTTGTATAAAATCATGGTGTCAATTTTTTTAAAATTTACTGATCAGTGAGTTTCAAGTACAAACTAAGTAGTGAAAAGTTTCTGACAATCTCACATTATTTAACAAGTACATCATTTAAGTGAATATATGAAAGCTCATGGTCATGAACTGCAGAGAAAGAAACGAACTCCTTGCAGTCATGTACACAGCTTGAACAGCTATGAAATTACAGCCTGAAAAAATTCAGGCTTGAACAGGATTTTAACCCATTCAGACCCGTGCAATACCAGTGCAGCGTTCTTCCAACTGAGCTATTAAGCGAATGTAATATACCTGGTGAAGATACAACAAACAAAAAACAAACTTTATTCGCTCTTGTACTTACAATTTTTATGTATCTAATTTACACAAACAAACAAAGTTGCCATCAGAGGCTTCTAAACATTAGAGATCCCCTGCAAACGCGATGTCTAAATAAAGATTCAGTTGTTGTACTATCAAGTCTTCACAGGAACGGGAATAAAGAGAAAGGAAGTGAAGATTCTAATTGAAATAATAATGGCCTCGCATCATTGTGATTGTGTGATTTTGCATGCACACGAAATTTCTTGCAGCTTTGTAATAGAATGTTAAGGTTATAAGGACATGTTACCACAATAATATTACATGTAATGCGAGAATGCGATAGCAAATATTAGCAAATCAGTTTCAACAAATGCTTCTATGATAACCTAAGTGACATGAACATTGAGTGATTTGCGATTGAAGCGGCGGAGCTGGGGGTGTCTTGAAAACTTAGACCTCAGACACTCTGCGTGTCACAAAAACTCGACCCGAGAAATAAAAGAATTCAGCGTTTGCCATGGATTGCTATGAGATGTCTTGTTTACAGTGTTTACTGTTTGTCAATACAATGTCATAGGCAGAATCTGTGGAGAGAGAGAGAGAGAGAAAATAATACCAACTTTCCTATCGTTTTTTGGTTGTTTACAAGTATAGACCAAGTTGATTAAATTTATTTATTTAGAAGCCATTCGAGCCAAGCCTAGTTAGCGTTAGGTGCGGGTTTTGCAAAACAAATATAGAGTCTCGTAGCGGAACTGGATATTCACGAACATGTAGGTGCTTTAGATCTAGGAAATTGTATTGACGAACAGTAAACAAGACATCTTGAAGCAGTCGGCAGCAAACATTCAATTATTTGATATTTTGGGTCTAAGTTTTCGAGACACCCAACGAGCAGGCGAGTATTGGTTGTGAGCGCATGAACAAGGGTATCTTCAATACAAGCTGCTATAATACAACAAGACCTGCCAACAGATTCAATAAAAGAGTTACAGTTCAACCCCTATTAAACAACCACCCTTGGGGTATGGATAGTGGCTGCTTAAAGTGGGCTGGCCGCTTAATACATCTAGAGGTGAAAACAATACAGAAGTCTTCATCGGGACTTTGATTACTGGCAGCCTAATATGGGTGGCCGTTTAATAGGTGGCCACTTAATAGGGGTTTGACTGTATGTATATATAACTAGTGTACTTCATACATAATATATAACTAGTGTACTTTGTACTTATTTCACCTCATGTATTATATTGTTCACTGAAAAACCTTTTAAGGAGTGTACAATAAAATTTTATTATCTTTATTATTATTATTATTATTATTATGTATATTTTCCCCTTTAGGCAAAATAAAGTGAAATGCTGTTGAAGTAACTAGAACATTGGTTTGGTTGAAGCTTGATATTTGCAGCATATGTGTGAGATTTGCAAACAACTGCAACCGTAGTGGTTACTGAAATCAGTTTTAACTTAAATTTTGCACAAGAAATGGCGCTTTTGCCATTTTCTTATATTTCAGGTTATATAAAAGGCATGATGGCGTTATAGTCTACCAATTACAGAGTGTTTCCTTGTTTTCGAATCAAGAAGGTTGCAAAGCGTATACCATCTTCATCATCCTCATCTCTCGTTCTTCCACATCGGCAATGTAATAGGCTCGGCTTGATAGGGCTTAACGATCAAATTAAAAGGGTCCTCCCCTTCTCCCACTGACTGTGGTGTATCAACATCAGATGAAAATAATGTATTACTGGATAATTCATCATCTAAGGACATTTTCCAGTGAATAAAATTGCCAAAAAAAGAGCACAGCAAGTGGTATCCTTGTAGGAAATTCACTGCTGCGAAGTGATGGATCAAAAGTTACACAGGCCTAGTTCCAGGCCTTGGAACATGATGTTTGCATTTTTGGCAACTTTGGAGGGATAGAAAAGTTGCTTTATGCCCTGGACCAGAGCTTAAATTGGAAGTTTATGAATTAGTGCAACATAGACTTCTAGAATGAAATGGGGGCAAAAAGCTCGTTTCATAGGCACTTTAAGCTGTGTATGTAACTGCAATGATCAGTTATATCTTCATAAATCAAATAAGTAAATTAGCCTCTGTAGCTGGCAGTTTAGACGAGGTAAAGTGTGTGAGCAAGCAGCAGGAGCAGCAATGCTGCGAGGGGATCACACTCTACATGCATATGCGGTCCTATAACCCAACCAACTAAATTGCCAGCTATGCAGGCTAAAGTAAATCAAACCCTGTTTTATACATGCCCAATATTTCTCATTGTTAGTGTTTCTGTGAATATTTTCAGGTTTCTAAGAGGGACATAACTCTGTTAGACAGATCTGAAAAGAGTGTCAGAGCAACTCTGTGGGGAGATGATGTATGTATGACAAACAGGACTCAATACTTTAAGAGTAATTTTTCAAGTCGTTGAGCTGTAGTGCAGCATCAGCATTATATCACTCCAAGTACTTGGTATTGCTTCCGTGAGTTTCCCTGTAATATTTGTCAAATTTATGACAATTTTATGTGATAACTTGCTCATCGATATTATAAAATCACCATATTTTGAAGTTGTCAAATGCACATTCAGTGTACTTTGATTTACCATAATTCTATAAAGTGTAATTATTCTCGCCTCTTTTCCTAGGCTGAGAAATTTGATGAGCATGTTGGAAAGAATCCTGTTCTTGCATTAAAAGGAGCAAGGGTCTCAGAATTTGGTGGTAGGTACCAAGAAATGTGACTTCAACCCACAAGTGCCACTGGCTTCTCTAGTCAGACAATCCAGGTTGGATAAGTCAGTTTTAACAGCTACAGATTCATGCAACTGATTACTGTAACAGCAACTCTGAGGTGCAGTTTATTCAGCCTATGTGCTCTGCAGCCTCTGTTCAGTTCTGCCCTGAATAAGTCTCACTATATGTTATGTAACTGCCCCTTGTAGAGTACTAATAATGTGCAAATCATTTGTTTTCCATGAACTCATCTTTGTTATCCTGAGTATGTGCAATGCAAAACCATGTTAAAGTTGGTTTTCTGGAAAGAAGAATGTTGAATATTGAATCTGTTCTGAATTAATTTTGCCCGATTTGCCTGTGCCAATGAACTGAAGCAGTAGTGCATGGGCGCCTTTGCAATTATGTTAATTTTGTTTGTTATGAAAAATCTTGTATTCATATTTTTGAAGCATATGGTTTGTAAATTGTTAAGGAATAAACTGTCTCAAGTTTTTTTGGTTGGAGTCGTTGGAACTTCTTGAGACAGAATCTCTTATTAGACATTTTAGTGTGTAGTATAACATTATATTTTTCACTTCATTTGTATTTTGCTCATCCTCAAGGTTCTGCCAAAATATTGCAATACTCGAAATATCCAGTGATTTCAGACACTACAATGTCTCATAAGATATATTACCTTAATTGTTATTAAGGAATGTGCTCAAGGTTTCATGCCTTTTGGTTAATAATGGAGTTGCTTCTTTTCAAGGTCGTTCTCTGTCAATCTTAAACTCAACCAACATGAGGGTAAATCCTATGGAGGTCAAGGAGGCATACAATTTGCGTGGATGGTAAACTTATACTTTTTGGATTGTTCCAACATGTCTACTGGATTTTCAATAATTTTATGTTCCTGTTTTGATGTAGGTATGACAATGTTGGTAAAAATTCAAATATCGAGTCTCTTTCTGGACAGAGATCTGAAGGAGGAGCTATGGGTAAGTACCTCATATTTTCAAATCATTTCTGTTTCCACTAGTCATCTTATGTTGTTCTCTAAAATGTCGAGTTTCTTTTTTCACTCTGCTGCTGCTACTGTAGTTGTACACCGCCCTCCAAGTCATTTTGGGGTTTAACTACTCTCAAAATGTGACTTTATTTCTGATAAAAATGATTTTAGATTAGCATTAACTGGTTTCTGATCAATCAGGGGACTTACTTAAAACAAAAAAACAAGCGATTGAATACCATTGTTTTCACACTGCTCGTTACTCTCATATTGTGGTGTGGCCCAATAATTGTGCTTTACTCCAATGCGTGCAAGATAGGACAAGACAGATAACAAGTTACATCACTCTGAGCCCTGATGTTACTTTAGACAATATTTTTGTTGTTTTCAGGTTCAAATTATATGACCTTCCTTCAAATTAAAGATGAAAACCTTGGTATGGGAGAGAAGGTAACAGTACTAGTATGAGAACAGTGGATAAGAACTAAAGGACCCATATCAGTCTTGTAGAGTTAACCGGCAGCCAAATATTTTCGAGCAGAGTTTTAGAATGCAAAGTGAAAAATCGAGGGGCGAGGGACATTTTTGCGGTCATTTTCTGCTGTCACGTAGGTGTAGTCTAGTGAAATCTGGATCGGCAGCAATGTTGTACCGATTCCTTTACCTTCAGTCTTTGGTCTTTTTTAAGTGACGAGTGCATAATTTTAGATATCAGTACTAACATATTTGGTAGTTGTTTATTCAAAACACATAGGAATTCGAAAGGAGTATTGACCAACGGAACTAATCCCAGGGAGTCTATGAAGAAAACTTTGGGATTCCTTTAACCGGCTCCAATTAACATTTACATTTTGTTGTTATTTTCTTTAATCAACCTTTAATGCATATAATACTTCTCCTGTAATTAATCTAAGTCTGAGTCAGTGAAGATTATTGTTGCTTTCAGGCTAGTGGGAAAATATAAGTTTCGTGTCCCGTTTTATTGTTCTAGGCGGATTATGTCACTGTTAAAGCCACTGTTGTGTATATCAAGAAGGACAATTGTATGTACAAGGTGAGATAATTCTTCTCTGCCCCGCTAAAACGCCTTTTCTGTAGTCTAAGACTGCGCCCAACACAGAAACTTTGGACAGTTAAGAAAAACAATATTTTGTTATTTACATACTTCGACAGCTCGCGTAGGACCGCGTAGAAATTTGGAATTTTATGGTATTTCACGGTATTTGTTCTTTTAAAATGGTTGACAATCCAACTGGTCTCCGCAAATCGTCGCCTATGCTAGTGAAAACGCAACCAATAAAACAGTTCGGTGTCATAATCCTCATAGCGCGTCGACTTTTTGCGCGAAACCTCTTCATCCCGGAGCTCTTATTACAAGGGCCTCGTTAGCATTTTTTTTTTTATTTACTCGCGTTTTTGGAGTTTCGGTTCTGGAATCAATTCTCTCTTCCATCTTATCTTTCACTCCTTATTGAGGTCATAAAACGTGCTATAAAAGGAGAGGAAAGTCTTTGGACAGCGAAAAAATGTAAACCAGGAGCTAAGAAGAAGACATAAGCGGAATCTCTCGTAGGCAAGAGGAAAACTTTGGCCGACAGTCACTATGGATCGTTTGTACTCGTACCCGAGTAAAGACGTGACATTTTCACCACTCTTGAAAAATAGTCTTGAAATGGCGGAAACTCGCATTACTTTTTCGCGAGAATATCATGTCATGGCTCCTGGTCGTATATAGAGATTCTTCCTCGTTCTTCGCTTGGTGGTGAGGTGACTTCGCTTGGCGAGTTCCTTGGTGGCGAGATGACCGGTAACTGTTTGACCAGGGCAGAAAAAGGCCGGGCGGTGAAACGGGCAGTCCGCTCTTGGTCCAATGTGTGATACGAAGAAAGACTGGCACGAGCGCTCCTTCCGCGCTTCCGGTGAGATTAATGGCTGCCAAAAATCTCCTCTCGACGAACTGGAAATCAACTTTTCTTTCTTTATTTTTGAGCCACCAGTGGTGTCTTTTCAAAAGCCTTTTTGATGCTTTAGACCTAAAAGTCAATACGTTTATGTCTGTTGTAATGATGCTTAAGTAACTTCGTCGTAGGCTACCCAAATTTGAGTGAAGTAAGACAGTGTCGAATGCAGGTATGTCCCGCTTATCATGACCAAGCCGTGATGCGCTGCTTCTTTTACGAGTACTCCACATTACTCCACTCTAAATTTTACATATGTTGAAGATCGATAGCATTTACATAACATAGTAAAAAACCAGCCGGATATATTTGGATATAGCAGCGTTTCAGAACTTCAAAGTTTCCCTCCTCTTGCCGCACGCTTGCAAGGATTTCGCCATAGAGTTTACCGCGAACGAAAAGTAATAAAATTTTGCTTGTTTGAGTTTCGTCTGAATTGCAAGCAACACGTGATGCCTCATCAAGGCATAAGAACTTTCGTCTGTAAATACTGCTCACTTTTGTTTGTGTAAAAATCCAATTAATCGCTGGTTGTCGATGAAAAGGAGCGCCCGGCGATCTGTGTTTTGTAACTAAACATGACAAGATGACTTTAATTACGCTCTTTCGTGTAAAAACGTACATCCAACTCAAAGAGTATCTCTAGCTTTATATATGTTTGACTGATTTGATAAATATTTGAGAGCATGTTAGAAGTTTAGCTGGACATGTGGCAAGACAGCAGATATTAAATCGGCAAAATTACGGTAGCACTTTTCAATCAACCCGATTAACTATTTCATTTTGTTGTTTGACTTCTCAAAACTCCTTGTCTTCTTCGTTTTCGCAGTATAAAATTTCCCTATGAAGAAACCGTGATCTTAGTAGGCTTTTAGCGTTGTCAAAAATTATCGCATCATCTCAGCACAAAAGATGGGGAAAAACTTTGGTAAGATTTTTTTTATTGAGAAATTAAAAAAACACCGACTCGGACTTGAAAGTGCACGCGCTACATTATGCAAATTAGCTACTTGTACGCGTCAGACTTTCCTGGTCGGCAAACAAGCAGAAACAATAAGAAACTGATCGAAAACAGATTTAAGTTGTGATTAAGCATTATTCTGATTGTTCTGAGAAACGTACAAATTAACCGGCGATACCAGAGTAAAGAGTTTCATAACGTTTATTCGTAAGTCAGAAG